CTGTTCGCCACTTTGACAGGAATGGCCTCTTCTGGCATATGAATTCTGCCTTGATAACGCCCGTCTCGAACCTCTTACTCAAGACCGCATAAAGGCCAGTCCTGCCTGACACGCCTACTTACCCCTGCATGAAACCCGTTATACAATGCCATTTACAGGCCGGTTCTGCGTGCTTTTTATATATTAAGGAGCGAGAGTTTTTTTCCCTATAGTGCTAATCCACTCGTACTCATTTTGTTTATGTTTGGAGTTTTTTTCATTGCTTGTTCAACATTCTTCGTAATAGACTACTTATTCAATAACTATGAATGAAGTATTATATTAATTCTGTACACGTCGTCTAAAATTCTAAAATAGATTTAAAAGTTATTCTTACTATAAAAGGACCTCCAGAGGTCTTGAATAAACTTATTATTATTAAATACGAGACATTATTCATCCGCATTAGCAGTAGGTATGCGCAAGGGGGTTGTTCTGCGCAACATGGCTTTTCTGTTCAGCTGGACGATATTCTAAGGGCAAATGTACATCCAGTTAATGTTTAAATGACCTCATCGAGTCCTCCAAGTTTACTTCCTTGTGAAGTCCGATCCATAAAGGAGGCTCAAGACTTGACTGTAGAAATTATCGTCCTGTCAGTCTTACTTGCATCGCGTGTAAAATAATGGAACGCATTATCAAAAGGCACTTGATGAAATACCTGGAACAGAGCAAAATATTGTGTGATGCCCAACACAGCTTTCGTCTAGGGTGCTCCTGCCTAACGAGTGTTCTTTACTCGCACGAGAAATGGACACGAGCTACCGATAACGGTTTTCCAGTAGATTTCATATTTTTTGACTTCAAGAAGGCCTTTGACAGTATCCCACACAGGCTTCTTTTACAGAAGACCTGGCATGTTGGGATTCAAGGGAGAATGTATAAGTGGATCAGGAGTTTTCCGTCCTCCAGACTACAAAGAGCCGTCGTTAGTAATTCAACCTCCGAATGGGTAAAGGTGGAAAGTGGTGTCCCACAGGGTTCTGTCTTAGGCCCAGTACTCTTCCTGATTTATGTTAATGACTGCATCAGCGAAGTGAATTGCAAGGCTCTCATGTTCGCGTATGACATAAAAATATGGAGTGAAGTCAAATGCGATGATGACGCAGAGAAGTTGCAGTCGAACATCAACAAACTGTGTGCTTGGTCAAACAGATGGCTTTTGAAGTTTAACGTGTCCAAATGCATGGTTTTGCACCTGATCACCGGCCGCAATGCCTCTCCCACACACCAGTACTATATTGACGGGACGAAGTTAGAAACTGTGGAAAGACACAGAGATCTGGGTGTATGGATGACCACAAATCTATCGCCATCAGAACACTGCAGAAAGATGGTCCAGAAGGCAACTAGTACTCTACACTGGATCAGACGTGCATTTAAAATATTTCCTCCCGAACTCTTCGAAAGACTCTTTGGTGTCTTTGTAAGGCCTCATCTAGAGTACGGAATGCCAGCAGCTTCACCATGGATGAGGAAGGATATCAACTTACTCGAACAGGTGCAACGCAGAACGACAAAGATGGTCGACGGTCTAAAGCATTTGTCTTATCAGGAGAGGCTAAATTTGCTTGGCCAATTCCCTCTCTCTTATAGACAAATAAACTGCAGTCTACTCTGGACGTTCCGGATTGTTCGCGGCCAGGGTTGCCCACTAAGAGCAGAGGACTTCTTTGAGTTCACCCGTACAAACCAACTACGCGGCCATGCATACAAAGTCGGGAATGAGCGCACGCGTCTAGACCGACGAAAATTTTTATTAAGCCAGCGGGTTGTCAGGCCGTGGAACTCGCTTCCGAGCGAGATGGTGACGGCTGACACAGTTTGTGTGTTTAAAAGAAAACTTGCTCGTCTAGTTTTCGACAGAAATCGACTAGTACAGCATGACTATGCACAGCCAGTTTTGTAAAATCTGTCATATATAATCTTCCGTACTAATTTACAGTGACCCTATGCACTACTTTATGATTACGATTGAACTGTGACCCAATCACATTTTAAATGCCTGCAATTTTATTTTATTTTTGAGTATGAATCTGCGAAAGCACTGTACATAAATAGGGTCATCAAGGGCTCTGCCTGTAACCCTTCAATATATACATATACACGTAATAACTCGTTGTGAATGCGAGTACCTACGGATATCTAAGCGCGATCGGGCTCCTCACAGTTTGAGGGAGTTTCCACTTAGGATTGTAGCGGTGGTCATCGCAGTGCAATGCACAACCCCAATTCCTCACAGTTCGGTAGGTCTGTTTTAGGTCTCCTCAGATCTGCCTGTACTAAATAAAAGATAGGTTAAGCGCATAAAGCCTCCACTGTAAGATAAAGTCTTCTGACCCATCACGATTTTAGTCGCCATCCTTTGCACAACATGTTTCGTTTGAAAAGTCCACAAATACTCTGGTGGTGTTATGAAAGATGGATATTGTGGTTTTCCCTACTGTCGGCCGATGACTGGAAGGAACCGAGAGACTGCGTATCTATACTTCAATCTCTCCTGAAGATGGTTGGAGAACTGGACATCCCCAAGACTACCTTTCTTTAACTTTTAAAAGGATGTCATCTCCTTGTTTTTCTCCAACTTATATATGAAGTACTATACAACCAATGACATTAAGTCAATAAATCGATTGATTCGACCAAACCATTTGACGGTGGTGGTTGACCCCAAGCTGCCTTTGCTATCTCTGCAGAACTTCTTCAAAATCATTGTATACTAGAGAAGCAGCTGTATCACAGTCTTGATACTATCCGCAAACATAAGAATTTATGAGGAACTGGACAGGTTGCAATGCAGAAGTATAGATAATCCTTCCTCTTCAGTCCGTAGACCCGGTGTCTGTCAGCCTAAGAATAAAACATAGAAACCACAGACGAGAGTGTTCTAATCATTTGAAGGGATATCTATGATGTCCGCTATTACATATTAATATGGGAATGTGAAGCATCTGCTTACGTTGAGTCTGTTACATTCGAACACCAAGATGAAGCCTACGAATAAGATACGAATCGGATGTCCATCGAGCATTTTGAAGTAAGGATTCCACGCCTGATAATTTCGCACTAAAATATTCCCGGCGAAGGTCAGTAAAACAAAGTGCTAAACATTTATTTTGTGATTATAGAAACAAGTGGGTAAAACAGTCAGGTCTGTTCACACAATCTGTCATGCCTACGCGTAAGCCACGAATAAAGATAGGTGTCTTGCACGCCTCGCCTGCAACCACTAAAATGTTGTCCTGTTGATACTATTCAGGCAGTGTTCCCAAGACACAAACTGACTCGTCTCTCAAAGCGATTTTGACTACCGGTACGGCACATGCGCATTTATAAATTGGTATCTTAGTTCTAAGTCGGCGGTTGCTCTGAAGGATCCATGAATCTAGTCTACGGGCGAACCAGTTGAATTCAGTAGACGACTTGTTGACAGTCCGGCGACAGTCTGTTTTAATAGGTAAGGCGTAATCAATGACAGTAGCATTTGGACTTCGTTTTCTGGTCTTTCTTTCTGTATATCTGTGACTGTATGATAGAAATGGACGTCAGATGACGCCAATGATTTCAAGCGGTCAATTGCAATAATGATGGACGAACTGTTCAGGGAGGACTTAACCTTCGAAGCGAATCACCTCATGGACGATTAACAGAAATACTTTCTCCACCGAAGACCCGTAGCATATGTAAATTGACAAACAGATCTCGAAGTTGTCATTTCTCGCCCTGATCCTTTTGAAGACGCGTCAAGCTTCACTAAGAGAGATACTGCCATTTTCCTTGCAATCAAAAGGCCTTGCATAGTCAACGACCAGAAACTTTGTAAAATTACACAGAGCCTTTATCCGTTGACAGCTGAAAAATTGGATTCAAGCGAGGCGTTCCTGGCTGTAAAATGATTGTTATTGGAAAAAATACAAAAAACGGTGACAACGGCCGCCAAGGGTCCGGGATCCTTATCCTTAAAAGACAGCCTATAGCACCTAACTTATTGGCACTTAAAATACTGAAAAGCCAAAAGTGCCGGAGACAGAAACTTTAACCTCCAATTTGACGAGCACTTTACACTATCCCCCCCCCTCCCAAAGAAACTTCGGAATTCTCTTTAGGGTCAAGGAACCTTGCTATGGCTGGATGTTTGTTGGTAGTACTTTTCGCGGCTAGTTGTCGGTGCCTTGAATGGACTACCCCATGATGCAACGACGGCAGACGCAAGGGAGGCCTTTAAACACAGAAAGCGTTTATATTTAGTTAGAGGAACACTGCTCAAGCAGACGGGAAAGCGAATTGCATTAAATGAATCATTAATTTACATCTACCGCATGTCCGGTTGAATATTAATTTACATGGTCATCTGCACATATTAAGGATGGTTGAGCTCCAGTTCGCACTTTCCCTGTACTTTTTCCTACAGTGAAAATACTGTCAAAACATAATGATAACATGTCTGCTTAGGTCTTAATTATTATCTGTCCTTTTTCAGTGGGCTCACTGAAGGCAATGCCTGCTAATCTAGTATATACTGAATAAACCTTCGTTTTTTCTCCGTCAGTTCACATAAAGGACGAAAACATAACGGGTTGCATGCTATCCTAACAAAATGCAAACAGTATCCATTGAAGAACAGTGAGGGGAAGCAATCGCTGCATTCCCACTTGTTTTCCTCAAACTCGCACAATTACTTGGACGGTCACACGAACGGGGCCAAACGTTGATCATTAAAAGCGGTGTCCTTGAAAATAATGATCAACTTCTTCAAAAAGATCGTAAGTAGACGGTTAGATAAAATTCTTTCCAGGTAATGTAAAAAAGATCGTTGTATTTCTTGTCCACTTTGAATTCCCTTGGTTAAAGAGGACATACTGAGAATAATTCCAATACCCTGCACTTTGCGAGTGTCCTTGAAGGACTATTTAAACAATCGTCACCCGCGCTGCTCGGTTTACATTTCGTCGCGGCTGATCATGTGCAGTTTGGCATCTACCGCATGGCTCGAGGGTTTGCCAGTAAAGGATAGGCCGTCTCTTCTTGCTTTAGCAAGATGTCTGGAACAGGCTGAACGCTACGATGACATGGCTGTTGTCATGAAGGCCGTCGCTGAACGCGATCCCGAATTGAGCAACGAGGAGCGCAACTTGCTGTCTGTCGCTTATAAGAATGTCGTTGGTTCCCGGCGCAACTCATACCGCCTTCTGTCCAGCAAAATCGGTCGCACTCAAGACTCAGATAAATTACAACTGACAAAAGAGTACCTTGATGATCTGCAGAAGGAGTTGAATTCGATCTGCGACGATGTTTTGGTTTGTCATCCAATTTTGCTAATATCAAGTAGTCTCTCATCAAAGATAAACTGTTACCGGCCTGCACAAATCCCGAAGGGAAAGTTTTTTACCACAAGATGATGGGTGACTACTTCCGTTATAAGGCTGAGAATGCCAAAGGAACGGACCAAAAGGACGTCGTTGATTCTTCGCTAGCAGCCTATGAGGAGGCGACACAGATAGCGAATACGAATCTTGAGCCGACTCATCCTATTCGTCTGGGTCTGGCCCTTAACTACTCGGTGTTCTATTACGAAATCAAGAACGATCCCGAGAAGGCCTGCCATCTAGCCAAGACGGCCTTTGATGATGCTATCAGCGAATCAGGCAGTCAGTGCGATGAGACTTATAAGGACAGCACCCTCATAATGCAGCTCCTTCGAGACAATCTTGCGGTAAGACCCCATTGGGTTCTTGCTTATTTTGTTTAGCTTTGGACTTCTGACCCGGATGATGGAGAGAACAATGAAGTTGAAGAAAAATAAGAATATTCCTTGTGGGATTAAGCATTTTAATAGAACATATACGCAGATAAGGCTGTTCTTCTTTCCTCTATCCTCAGAGTGCAATTTGCCTATCGTCAGGTTGCCACAAGCTTGGCTCTGGCGTGCCCAGTTTACTGGCTCAACTGTTGTCCGCCCGATAAGCTCGCTGAACATCATGGTTGGCGGACTTCACTAAGTAAATGCATAGCACTAGGAACTTCCATGAGCCGTCAGAACTTTTAGCCTGGTTGCCTTCGCTCAAGGATTATTCCTTAACCCCAGACATTGGCTTCGCTGCGAACATGTAGGACCACTTTGTGGGCCGCAACAAACGTTTACACTCCCACATAATAAAAGATGGCGCATTGAGCGCATTCGGATCTGGTGGCCCGCCCTTTGTGCCTGCACATCTCCCCGGTCATGTCGGGCGGGACAAGATGCAGCTCCTGCAATTGTGTGCGCACTCAGTTCTCAGCCGTTCCTTGCAGCCCACGACTTGGGCGACGCGTCCGATGGTCAGTTCATTTGCGCTTAGTGGCACTAGTAAAAGCCACACTAGGTTTGCGAAACGCAAGCCTTTCATGCATCGTAAATATCCAGCTGAAGCAATTGCTGGCATAGGTCATGTCCTCTGGTTCGCGGTCTTCCGGAAGCGCCAAGAGGTACCCTGCGATAAATCACGCCTATTCTCGTGGTTGGCCGTTATGTCGCGCCCGCCTTGCGCTTGGCGATATATTTTAGTAAACATTGGGAGGTGGGGCAAGCAACCGTCCAGCCTTCGCTGGTCGCTTCGCTGCCGGGCCTGGGGGCCCTGAGTCATGACTCACAAGTGTCTTCGGACTCCCAACTCTATTTTCACCCCTCGTTTTTGGGCGGACAGATGTACTCGGGAAGTCTGTAACAATACTTGTAAGTATCTGACTGGACCAGCAAGCACTTGGCTGGGCCTGCGTTCGTGTCTGCCACTTTCGCCGACTTGTTGAGACTCCGATTTGCAGTCTTAACTTCATTACGGGCTTAATTTACCAGAGGAAGAATCGCGAGCGGCTCCCGAAGCTATGAACATATCGGAGTTATCCCACGTTCTATAATTTTAACTAGGGTGGACTATTTTGACGCAATGCTGACTTGACAGTATATCGTACCAGGAAGACGACGTCGATCCGTCATCCTATGTTTTGCCTGGTATGTCCACAACTGGTCTGACGGATAATCCAACCCTGCAATGACCGAAAGCCCCCCATTCGACAACTCAGTTGTAATTTGGAAACCCGGACTTCCAACGTAACGTCAGGTCGGGTTGCCAATTGTTCGGGAATTAAAAATTTTTTTTCTAGAACCGAAGGGATAAAATTCAAAGATGACAGTTTGCCACCAAATGAACGCAAAGAGGGTGTTTTAGTGCGTGTTCCCCATAGATATATTTGAATTCATAAGGACATCGATGAGTAATGGGTAGGATTATCCTGCATAAGTAGTTATTTCCACGGGGTGTAGTTTGTGCAGGCAGCAGGAAGGAAACACGTTCGGAAGTCAGCGCACTGACGCGACTGAAGCGTATTGAGTTATGCTGCAGAGTTATTAATGCCGCAACCCCACGTAAATGATATTTTCGAATCGAAAACATGGCGACCTCTGGCTCGGTGCATGCAAAGACTCCAGTGGGACCAGTGTCCACGCTCATGATTCCGTCATGATACAGGTTTCTCCAAATTTAAGGCATTCCCAAATGGCTAACCCCCGACCCGGTACTCCCTTTTGTGAATTCGATCATCTGAATGCTGTAGGTCACCGGCTGTGATATATTCTGGCTATGTTCGTATTTCAGCTGCCAGAGTTTAGGTGCTGCCGGGCGCATTTTTGCTCTTAAACTACATAAGAGGCTTTGCCGGGAGGTTCTGCCAATATTTGCTTTCTTATCCTCATCATGCATCTCTTCGGTTTCGGGGTTTCCCGTTCCCACCGTAACAGCACGAGGCCACTCCTGGCATTCTCGTCGAGGAGGTTTGGTCGAACCCTAGTGACTTAAGAAGACTTCGAAACCTCTTCGGCATCTTGTCTTTCAACATCTGTTACATCCTATAGGAATATATCCGTAAAGGGGTCGCTACTGGAGGCGCTAGGTTGACCTCGTTATAGGCGACATAAAAGAAATTGAATCCATTTAATCATCGTTGGGATTCTGTGTCTGTCGTGGGGTTTGGCTTTCAGCAACCCGTCTCTTTCACTTCGCCCCCACGGCTCCCTGTTGGCCTTGCTGATTATCAACTGCAGCAAAGACGTGAATGCCGTGATAGCTGGCCGCCATGCATCGCATGACCCCACATTTCAAACAGGTGGAGTTGTCTGCGCGGGTGTGGCGATTATAACTGGCTTCATCAGCTCCGTCTCTTGATTGTTTAAAAGGAATTAATACGTCAACCCTACCTGGGTCGGTTCTTTTGATAATTATGCCGACATCCACCCTAGCCATAACTAAATGCTGCAATTTAAATACTTTTTTGATTAAGCGTCGCATGCTGTCCTCGGCTGACGTGAACTCCTAGAAACCTGTGAGTGTCACTGTCTATCAGCCGGGTATCCCGATGGACACCATCACCCAATGACAGTTCGACCATCGTGCACGACGATGTCCACCCTGCGCTCCACAACAAGGCGAAGCAGGCACGGCAATTTGCGCGTGAATTATCTCACAGTGAAAGCAGGCTTGCGCAGCATTTACCGCACTCTCTCTCTCCCGCCTGAGCTCGGTGCCGAGACATAGTCAAGAAGACCAGATGCGGGTGGCTGGCACGGCCGAACCCGCACCTAGCCGTACCACCACACCCCCTGGTCAACAAAAAAACACCTGACCAGGATTTTAGCGAACAACAGCACCGGAAAGAGTTAGAAAGAGGGGGACTAGGCAATCATGCCTCCATACCCAGTGGGAGCGTACGCATATCTATCGGCAGGGAACCAGGAACCAGAGAAATTTCAGCGCACCCCAGGCTGCGAGGACCATGGTTTGCTGATAATGTCACAGCAGACGCTTGCATTTCTTGAGGCCTTGAAGCGTGACACGCAGCCCTGCATTTAGCTTGGGCCATCGCCCCTTAAAGACTCGATAGCCAACTAATCGTCGACTGAGAGGTACTGCCCATGCACACACTCCTCACATGAGTGAGAGTGCCACAGGTCACTTAAAAAGGAGCCGCGACAGCCTGGCTCTCAGTCCGTCACTTCACACAAACTCACGCATCTGGGCTGACTGCGTGGACTGAGTTAGGGCATCAGTCGACAGCCTACCAAGCCACGGCGCACGGCCTACCGCGATAGTTTCAGACTCAGATCGCACATGCGGCAGAGGAGCCGCGTGAAGAAAAAACCGAGAAGCACACTTCCCATCAACGTAGGAGGTGGCAATTGGGTGTTTGCGAGTGTAATGGTGTTGTGAGGTGCAGGTGGTGGTGGTGGTGGTGGGGGGAGGAGGAGGAGATGTGATGGTGTAGTGTAACAGGCGGTTGTCTACCGCAGCTTTTCGCAAATGCGCATGTGGCTTAATAGGTCCATGTGGTGGCTGAATGTACGGGCAGTGAGGCCAATGGGAGTGGATGCGGCGGATGTAGGCTAGTGCTCCAGGCACCGGTTCGTCAGTCTTTGCGCGATAGATTCGCAAGTGACCGACCAGGCCGATGTTTGAGGTGAAGGTGCAATCGCAATAAGGACAGGTATGAACCGAGTCCACATCGTTGGATGCGGGGATGCTGTTGCTGTTTGAAAACGATAGGACGTTGGACGTCGTCCAGTCGGCGAGAGAGTGCGTGACGTCGTTGTTCTGATGATACTGGTACCGGTCGCTGCGGTCGTCGCAGCAGTTGGGGGAGGGCGGGTGGTTTCGACGGATGATGGCGGCGGAGCGGCGACTATGAGAACGGTGGTGACGGGGATGGCGGTCGGCTTGGAGTTTGTGGCGGCAGCGAGAGTGGGAAAAGAAGAAAATGTCGTTTTGATGGCGCATTGGTTCCGAAGATGTTCAATAAGACGGATGGGCGCCCAGAACGTCCTCTGACATCGCCGGCAGGTTGAGAGGGGTCGATCGTTGGCGTTGTGGTGGGATGCGGGGGCAGGTGTAAGTTGCGAGCTTCGCGTTTAGCATTGGTGGCGGTAACGCGGTTGGCTTCGTATGTCGCTGCGCTTGTCTTCGCTGTCCTCCTCCAGGTCGGTTGGTCTCGGAAAAAGTCTTTCCAGTTGACCGGGTTGATCTGCAGTCGCTTTAAGGAAGCCTTCAGCGTGTCCTTGTAGCGCCGGACTTGGCCTCCTTGTCGACGAGAACCCGTGGCAACATCTCAATGGAAGTCGTTTAGGCAGTCACTTGTCGTCCATTCCCACGTGGTGGCCGCTCCAGCGGAATTGTAGTTGTCTCATCATGACGTAGATACTGAGGATTACTGTCCAGTATGTCCGTATCCGGGACCCAGTGCTACCACGTCAGCTTTAGTATCCACCGAAGACAGCTGAGGTGGAAGTACTTGAGTCTCGGCGCCTGCTTCTTGTACATCATCCAGGCGCCCGTTGCATATAGCAGCGTCGGCAGGATGACTGCTTTGTACATCTTGAGTTTGTTGCTGAGGTGGAGTCCATGAAGATTCCAGACGGTGTTTTGCAGGTGGCCGAAGGCTTGGCTGACTTTGGAAATTCGGTGGCTCAATTCATCGTCAATTTTGGTGCTGCCTAGATAGGTGGTGTCCACGACTTTCATTTGGGTGTCGTTCACGCTCATTTGGGGTGCATTGTAATCAGAGTTGGGTAATGGTTGGTGCATAATCGCAGTTTTTTCTGTGTTTACGATTAGGTCGAAGTTGTTACAGACGATAGCGATAAAGTCCATACTCCTTTGCATGTCCTCTTCTGTAGTTGTTTTGAGAGCGTAGTCGTCGGCGAAGAGATGTTCGTGGACGGTAGTTGTGGACACACGCGAGTGGAACTGCATCCGCCGCTGATTGAGGAGTTGGCTGTCTGTTCTGCAGGCAATGCGGATCCCCGGACGCTCGTCACGGTGGACGTCTACTAGCATGGCTGAAAACATGAGACCGAAGAAGGTAGGCGCGAGGACGCAGTCCTGCATCAGTCCGTTGGTCATTGCGAATGCCTCTGAGACGGTTCAATTGTCCGCGGTGCACGTCGTCAAACTATCGTGGAGCTGACGTACCATTTGAGTTAATCGCTTGGGACAGCCGGATTTCTGCCTAATTTTTCACAGTCCTCCGCGATTCACTGTGTTAAAAGCTTTCGTCAGATCCACAAAGATAGAGCGGAGATGGGTCCGCATCCCCTGACATTCATCCAGCCGTTGGCAGGCGACAAAAATCATGTCGGTGGTGCTGCGATGACGGCGGAAGCCGCACTAGCTTTCCGTTAGGAGTCCCTTTTCCAGATAGCTGTGGAGACGACTGGGGAGGACGTGAGCGAATATTTTCCGGCAGTCTTGAACATCGACATTCCTTTATGGTTGTCTTAGAATTGGCGGTTCCCTTTCCGTTTCTTTCAGATAGACGATTGTGACGTCTTTGAAATACTAAGGGACCTGTCCTTGGCGCCATATCTCCTGGGAGAGCGCTGCCATGTGATTTGTGAGTTGGGGGCCATCGTGCTTGCTAATATCAGCAGGATCACTTCTGGTCTAGGCGCTTTCCTGCTGGTAAGTTGCTGAACGACCTTGACGGTTCTGTATAGAGATGGCGGGAGGTCGGGGTCGGGGTCGGTCTCCACTTGGACAGACAGACGATAGCGGCTTCGATGATGGAGGGACGGATTAGGAAATCTCTGAAGGGCTAGGCCTGTCACTCTAGAATTCGTTTCTTCTCGGTGAGTAGGGTACTGCCGCCGGCGCTGAGAAGATAAGCGACTCCTTTGTCTGAGGGACCGTAGACAACCTTGATCTCCGCGAAGATATTCTCCCATTCATTGCGGTCCGCGTACCCTTGGACCTCCTCGGCCTTGCGAGTCGTCCAGGCGTCATGCGTTTCCTGCAGTCGCTTTGTTGTTGTCGGCAGGGCGGTCGACATAGGTTTTGTGAGACCGGTTCTTCTCGGCGAGTAGGTTGCTGATGGCGGCGTTATTGTCGTCGAACCAGTCCTGATGTTGTCGGCGTGCGTGACCGAGGACAGCCAGGACGGTTGACTAAATTGTGCCCCTCAGTTGGTACCATCGGTTCTCCACGGAGACGTCCTCGTCGGCAGCGACTGGAACGTTGGCTAGCCGCTGAACCAGCTTGTTACTGAAATGGAGACGGTGAGCAGGCCCATATAAAAAAATAGTATTCAAATTACCTGGGGGTTGCTTACCTTGTGACCTTCTGCGTGGCTGTAGGGGGATCCTCATATTGGAGATGACGAGGCGATGGTCAGCCCACTGTCGGCACCCCGGATCGCCCTTGTCACCAGCATATCCTGCTGGTCTCACCTTCGAACGAGGACATAATCCGGCAGGTGCCAGTGCCGCGACCGAGGGTGCATCCAGGTCGCCTTCTCCCGCGTCGGAATGCGGACAGGAGGAGACGGTGTTCTGCGCAGGTTTGTAGGAGGAACTGACCATTGTCATTTGGAGACGTCGAGACCGTGGTGGCACAGCACTTCTTTCCAAGCAGCATGATCTATGCCGACGCAAGCGTTGAGGTCGCCAAGGACAATCAACTTATCCGCCTTCGGCACAGTCGACAGGAGGGCGTGCAGAACCTCGTAGAATTTGTTCCTTGCCACGTCAAAGCTGGTCATCGGGGGACGTAGACGCTGATGACGGTGGCGAATATGCCTCCCCGAAGGAGCAGGCGCAGGCTCATCAGTTGTTTGTAGATGCCCTGCGGCAGACAGGCAGGAGGAATGAGGTGAGGAGTAGATTTTCCTTCCCCTCTTTGAATTAAATGTTTGCCGAAACATAGATGGTGAACGGACAAATTCAACAGAACTTTATTCAGTAGGACGGTATTTAGTTTACACGGTAGTCGCTTACCTTGTGGCCTCCTGTGGGGTCGCAGATGAGGGCGTTCTCATCTGCGGCTGACAGGTTCTCCGGCCGCTGGGTAACTTGATTGCTGAAAGGCAAACTGTGAGCAGGCAAAAACTACAAAGCGGTATTTAGCTTACCTCGGGGTAATTTACTTTGTGGCCTCCGGCGTGGGTGTAGATGGAGCCTCAACTCGGAGATGACGGGGCGGAGATCCGTCCGGCCGGCGGTGATGGGAGAGGAGCAGAGTTACCATGTGTGAAGATGCACATACGAATACCCCCACTCGGTTAAGTTCTCCGGTCTAGGCGGTTACCGGGGTGTGGCCGCTAGGCAGGTCCTAACTTCGAGGAGTCACAGGTTAAAGTTGGGTGCCAGTTAATGGACGTTAGGCGTAGTCAGCACCTGCAAACAAGCGAGTTACCTACTACGACCATCGCGTAGACCCATAACTGGACACCCAATCACACCTCACACACAATGAAATGCACGCGGCTTACCTGTCTACCTCCTTGGTAGTATTCGAGGATTTGAAAAAGAGTGGTGTTTTCATATATGAAACCTCGTCCTCAACTAAAGCCCTACCGCCTCGCCTCTGTCTGTATTTTGAGACACATGTAGTAAATACTTATGATTACCAGTGCTATGACTTTGGAAGCAGTCTGGACTAGACTGAGGACCCGGAAGTTATTGAATTCCATCAGAGGATCGTGCAGTCGATTAATTGGTACAGCCAAACAACATACACATTTCTGTCCGGAGGTCGTCTCTCCCGGGTAGATTTTTCGATTTCCACAATACAATCCCCCATGTTAGTAGCTAATTTATGGTTTGTTGATAAATTCCGGCTCTGTTTGATGTTTAGATTTCTATTAATGTTCAGCACCAAGTTTTCACGAACATAGCCTTTTGACCGTTTCTGGAGACCTATAATAGTAGCAGCTCGGACGATTTCTCGTCGGTGCAGCACTCGATATTTCTTCCAAGATTCACATGACGACAGTTGTCCATTAGTATTACAGACAGCAGAAGTCCGGATGAGTCTAGAGAAGTCCTGTTCCTCTTTCTGTCAGTTCGAAAATATTTGGCGAGATCCCTCCCCCTGTATCGAGCAGTTGCTTTATGATTTCCTCCAGGCAGCACATTTCATTGTTTCCAGTGACCATGGTTTCGCACAACAAGAAAAAGTCGGGGACGGCCCGGATCCCAATTGGCGCGGCATGAGCCTGTAATTGGACGTGTCACCACACCCCCAATGTTGGTATTTTTTGTGGGTGCGCATTCCCGATAACACCTGCCGGACTTCGATCCTGCCTCCGTGTTGACGGTTCAGCGCATCTACCGCATGGTCCGTTTTAAAAACAATTCAATAAAATAGAACGGTGAGCACTACTCCTCTAAAACTTAGATGAGGTGCAAACTCAATGATCCTCTATGCTCCTCAGCTGACGTCGGTAAATGGTAGACGTGGCCGATTACAACTTGTGCGAGACTTGAACCGGCATTTCCTCCGCCAAACTCAAAGAGCGCCGTTGTTTTCTGAGAGGACACAGGTCTAGGTCTCGCATTTACTCTCTCTCTGCCCCCCTCCCCACCCATATTCATCGTGTCTCACCGACAGGGCCAGATAAAGACGATTAGATCTTAGTCTGAGCTCAGTCACTAACCATACTGCTCCCGTCCATGTGCGCCAGAAGTGTTCGTGCCAACTAACAAATAATTGTATTTTAGCCGGACAATACATCTGTTCATAGGCACCATTCTGGCCCATCCTCTGGAAGCTTCAATTTTAAGATGAAGTAACCTTGACAAGCAGCATTAAACGAACGCAAAGTGGTGACAAATCTCCCAAACAACAGCGCCTCTGAGTATGTTGTTAATGATTGAGTTCGGGTCAAACGAAACGTTTGTCTCTTCTGTAGAGTTCATCCTAAGTAGGCAGAACGTCTCGCGGCTTATCCAGAAGTTCGCCCATCGTAAACGACAACGTCCATCGTGCACTCCACGGCGACATTAGCGTGAGCTAATTTATTGTGAGACAGACCTGTGCACTACCTATCATATTCTCTCTCTCTCTCCCAACCCCTCTTCCTCCAATAGCAAGACGAAGTGAAGGCGACCGGCGGAGGTGGGCGTGGGTACAGTAGGTGACCTGAAGAAACCCCTACCTCACATGCCACAGTCGTACTCGTCTGCACACTCACATGGGCCAAATCAGAGGGAATTCGCATCTCTAATTGAAAAGAGTTGTTATAACGACCACGTTATGAGAAAATCATAGACACCTGTCCCTCAGTCCTGAGTAGAATTGAGCTATCCTACCATCTGGAAACCGTCAGAAGCATGACTTTTGGTGCTCCGCGATGCATCAAAAGGGTGCCAGATTTATCCACAATGGGGAAGTCAGATACTGGATATCCCTGTAGAGGGCACAGTCAGAACCAACCTCACTTCTCTCAATCCCACCATGTTCCAGTGGCAAGTCCGTGTCGAGCTGGGCGGGGACAAGACTTGGGCGCGATATTTTGCGCCGGTTTGGCCCAAACGCACTGCAAGTTTCGAGAACAATTTTCATTGTGGGCATATGTGACGTGCAGGTTTCGGCGAGGGGCTTGGGGCCGATACTGTACCAATTTATGACATTTCTGGATTCTGTGATTAAAAAGTCCGCCTTTCGGACACTTTTCAAAGTACGGGTTCGCTGTTGCGAAGTACACTCTTTTAATTTGTTGTGTTACTAATGTTTCGTGAATTCGCTGACAAGGACATTGTGTATTTGACAACACGGGCCTTTAAACAACGTGAGAACGGTTTTTTTTTCATTCTCAGCATATAATTGACGTCCCAATGTTTTTTTGTGAATGTTATCCTAAAGGAGTTGTCTACACTGTACTGAAGACATGTCAAGATGTTTAAGGCGATAATCACCTGGTGATTGATAGACAACAAAACTGTTTCTGCTCCTAACCCGGAAAAGGGAAGCTTCTGGGCCATACGATCTTCGTCTGCAAAGAGCAGAAGAACATCTTTTAAGAGTTCGACATTCGACATTTGATTAAATACTAGGAGAAAAGTACTCAGCTCATGAAAGCGAGCTTGCATTCAGGCGGTTGCTGCATGCAGATAAGCAGTGCACCCCGCGTCTTATTCATTCCCATGCCAGGCCACATACAAAGGGCAATGCCAGAGTCGTGAACAACCGGTAGACGTCACTCGTTGACCACTAAGCCGAGCAGGCCCAATGGGTTCTGGACCCGCCGGCAGTGCCTCATTCCATCCTCACCCCTCCCCCTTGCTCATCCTCCTCCTCCTCCTCCTCCTCCTCATCATCATCATCATCATCACCTTCATCATCACTACAATCCGCGGATTCGATTTTTTACTGTCTGGCGTGCTTCATTCTGACTTGAAGCGGAATCTTCGCCGATGGTACTGAGGCCCAAGTACTGCTCATTCGAAAGTCTAAGGTGTGTAAGAAATTGACCCAAACATCGAGATGCGTTGTAGATACGCTCGACGAAAACGGGACCAAATCATCTCTCTGCATGCGTCAATCGGGCAACGCATAATCAGCCCGAACCCCTAACTACCGCCACACATTGGAGGTGTGACGGCACGCCCAGGCCCAGACTTTGCGTCGTGTGATTACTGTACCCAATCCTACAGTGGGTGACCGATCTCATGAAATGTTGGCTGAAATTCTCAAATGCGTTTTCGCTTAGGAAGGATTACTTAGGCGCGGTTGTAATACTGATTATCTTGCGACATAATCTTATAATTATTTGCACTCGGCAGGATGTCCGTGTTCGAATATACTGCTTTTCAATCTCCTGTAGAAATCGTACTTGGCAAAAAATGACTAATTACATAGCATGCATTTGTTCCACTGATTTTCTATTGTCTCGCAAATGCAAATATATTTTATATAAACCACGAACAAAAATATGCTTTCTTTCAGTCGGTTGATAGAGAATCACGTCATCTTCATATTTTATACTCGAAAAAGGAGTACGATTAGGTTTTAAAAAGTTTTCTTATTGCCGAATAATTTGAAGCCTGATCAGTCGTTGCACCAGCGCTTAGTGATCTCAGTCCACAAGGTGCATGCGCCCCGCATTAAGGAGCTCACATGCTCTGCTATGCCTTTAAAAAGATATCATATAGAGTCCATAAAATTGTGCAATGGATGCGGACTATCATGTACATTTTATGAGGAACCGTGGTAAACGGACAGGTACGATGCTGCATGAATGGGTATTGCGCGGTCTTAAAAAATCTCATAATTAGAAACTTTTTTTAAAACCTAATCATGCTCCTTCCTCGAGTATAAAATATAAAGAAGATGTGATTCTCTATTAATTGACTGGAAGAAAGCATGTTTTGTTCATGGTTTCTATAAGATATATTTGAATTTGCAAGATCCTCGAAAATCCATGGGATAAATGCATGCTACTTATGTAGTCATTTTTTACCAGGTATTATTTCTACAGGAGTCTGAGCAACAGTGTATTTAAAAGCCGACATCCAGCCGAATCCGAAATATTATAGGATTGTGCCGCAGGACAATCAGTATTATAAATGCGCCTAAGTGATCCTTCCTAATCGAAAACGCATTTGAGAATTTCGACCAACATTTCATGAGATCGGTCACCCACTGTAACACCAGATGGCTGAAAGGCTCAGACAACCGACTGGCACGCGGGAGAGGAAAGTGAGAGTGAGGAAACCCCCTTACGACACCTCGGCGCATTCCTCACTATAATAAATCTGCCACAACTGAACCTATTACAACACACCGAAAGTCGTGGCCTGGAAGGCTGTCATCTTAGGAGCAAGCTCGGTCCTTCACAGTGCTGAAAGCCAGGCCCAATGGCCCCTTTTTAATGTGACATCTACAGCACTTTCACTCAACTGGGATCTGAGACACCCACTTTTCATGAAAACCCACATCATACCTGCGGGACCCAGTTCGTGTGGGACACGCGTAGACCAGTTTTGCGGCTTTATCAGCCACTGCGCCCAAGTCCGCTTCCGGTCATCCTCACTTCGTCTTGCCACCGAGCCCAAATGGGTGAGGGAGGATCGAGTGCGGTAAATGCCTCGCAAGTCGGACACCACCATAAAGTAGCTCACGGCTAGGTCATCGTTCCTCGCCCATCCTGATGTGTGGCAAACGGTGGGCATATTCGCCTTTGGCAATCAAACTGTCGAGTATACGAGATACATTGGAACTGGTGGTTTTGTGTCCACTTCTTT